ATGTATATAAGACATTTATAAACTATATTATAAGACATTGTACATATAATGTTAGTAATAATTAATATATATAATATTCTATGCATACAGAATATAGTTTATAAATAAATTATGCCATTGTAAAAGGAAAGATAAAGGCAGATAGGACAGCTGAAGGGAGCAAGAAGGGGCAGGCTCCAGTATGAAGCAGAGTGGTCAGAGGCGGGCACCATGCTACACATTTTTAATCCTAGCAATTTTGTATCCTCCAGATACAAAATACAAATTCGAGGCCAGCCTCAGCAACTTAGAAAGATCCTGTCTCAAAATAAAAACTTTTGTAAGGGCTGGGTGTGTAGCTCAGTGGTAAAGCACCCCTGGGTTCAATCCCTAGGACTGACCAAAAAAAAAAAAGGGGGAGGGAGGAGAGGGAACAGTGGTCATGGGGGGGTGGGGAGAGACCCACTAAAAAAGTGACGCTTGAGCAAAAACTTGAAGGAGGTGAGGGTATGTGTTCTATGTAACTCTTTCCATTTCTTTTGGCATCCAAGATGATCAAAACCAAATTTGAGACTCATCACAATACCTGAGAGGCCCCTGTGGACTGCAAATTTGTGGTCTTTTGTCCCTTCGAGAGGCAGGGCAGTACAGTGGCTAAAGGCGTGGGTTCCAGTATCAAACTGGGTTCAAACACGGGCCCTCCACTTACTGCAGGACTTAGCACATCATGTTTCATTTCTCTGAGCCTGTGTTCCCAATGCTTCAAAAATGAAGACAATAAAAGTACCTACCTCGGAGGGCTCTTTTCAGGATTAAGTGAAATAACATACACAAATTCCTTTGTGCGCACACGCTTCCTTCCTTTGCTCGCAGGAAGAACTCAATAAAAATAAGCTGTAATTATTGAACCTTGCTCTTGTCTCTCAAAATCTATTTACATTTTACTTGGCCCTAACTCTTTATTCTTATTGATATTTTAGCATTGCTTTATGGCTTCTGTTTCCGTGGTAAGCTACCTCAAATCCTTTGTGGGTTGGGAGGGTTATAAATAAGTAAGTAAATATATAAAAATCTGGGCAGGAGAATACTTTCAACCAAGGCAAAACATTTCATTACCAATAGAATGAATTGCAAGTGAGGCCAAAAATCAAGAAATATTGACTCTAATTTCTAACAGTCCATCAAAAACCACCAGCAAGATGTTCTCTGGTTTTTCAAACCATCCCTTCCCCTCTTTCCCAAACCCCTCTTCCTCCTTCCAACAAGAGAGGGTAAATGAGTCACACAAAAATGACCCTAGACACCTCCTAAACCCTCCCAAACTCACATCTACTTCACTGCCTTACGCCTCATAGCACTCTCCTTCCCCATCAGAGAAGAGAAATCAATGGGGTCACTTTCCCCCATGGTTGGGGGGAGGGGGTGGATGCCAGCTCAGTGAGCAGTCAGACCTAGGCTAGGATTTCATTACTGCCATTAACCAGTGAGTGCTGTGGCCACAGGGAAGCCTCCTGGTCTCTCTGGGCTTTGCTTTCTGGTTGGAAATAAGAGTACCTCCCTGCTAAGGTTCTTGTGCAGTTGAAAGGGGAGAATGCAGGGAAGCAACTTGGATAGCTTATTTTCAAAGCCCTCAATAAATGTTAGTTAGACCTTCCTTCCTTAACTGCACCCCAGGGTAATGCTCAGTGGACTCTGGGAATCTGAGTCCCCTTAGTAAGAGAGTGGATGGGGTAGAAGTGGGGTGAGGTATAACTCTGCTCAATAGAAACTCACGGAGTGTCTCTGGGAATGTCAGGGAGGCTCCGAGGAAAAGAAGCAAAAGAGAAAGATCATTTTGGGGCACTTAGTACTTTTCAAATAGGTCATCCCAGTTCTTCCTCAGCCCAGCCCTTTGAGGTAGGTGTCATTAGCCACACTGACAGTCAGAGCTGGGCTTTGAACCCAGAGCACACAGCTAGGAAATTTTGGGAAGGCAGCTCTGGCCTTCCAAGGTTGCCTTTAGGAAGGACAACAAGTTACCACCACAACAATATGTTTTAGTCAACTTTTTCGCTGCTGCGACTGCAAGAGCCAACCAGAACAATTGTAAAGAGGAAAGGTTTATTTAGGGGCTCATGATTTCAGAGATCTTAGTCCATAAGAGGGCAGATCCATTCCTCTGTGCTCTAGGTGAGGCAGAACATCATGGCGGAAGAGTGTGGCAGAGGGAAGAAGTTCACTTGGTCAGAAAGCAGAGAGAAAGCACGAGAGAGAGACTCCACACTCCAGATACAAAATACATACCACACAGCCACATCCCCAATGAACCACTTACTCCAACCACACCCCACCTGCCTCCAGCCCCCACTTAGTTAATCCCATCAGGGATTGGTTCACTGATTGAATTAAGGATGTAACCCAGATCATTTTTCCTCCAAGCCTTTTTGCATTGTCTCACGTGAGCTTTGGGGGGGGGGGGAACACCTCATATCCAAACCATAACACAGTAAATCCCAGACAACACTGACAAAAACCGGTGAGGTCCTAGCCCACCTCATCTGTGACTCCTGAGCTGGGTACAGCAGGAATCAGCTTGGTGGATCTGATGAGGACTACCTAAGACCCGCTTTCTCCTCTCACTTCCATCAGCCCCCAGGGCTGTTGCTGTTAAATCACCTCTGCTCTCTGAGATTGGGCTTTGTGATTGGCTAGATCTTAATTTGAAAAACACACCCTTTAAATAACTTTAACCAAGTCACCTACTCTTTCTGGTTCCCCTTTGGATTATGGGCCTATCAAAATGCCTACCTTCCAAACTTGCCATGGAGATTAACTAGAGCAAGGCACTGAAAACATACAAAACAGTGCCTGGCACAGACTAGTGTGCTCATTTATGGCAGCTGCTACAGTCACACTGCTGCCGACATGGGGGGAAATCAGCCTTACTTTCAACCATGGTGTCAATATTCTCAGGGAGGGAAAACAAGGTCTCGAGCATGGCCCACCCATACATCCATGAAGCCAAGCAGTATAGCCTGGTTACCCCACAACTGCTGTCCCCAAAGGGAACTCCTGGAGGGGTAACAAGGAGATCTAGCTGGGCTTTGTGTCCCTCCCAAGAAAAAGAAAAAAAAAGCTAATCAAGGTCCAGTCTAGGGTGTCCTACCAATATCTTTGAAACACCTACCTTAGAGCCCTTCTGTGCTGGAGTCAGGGAGAGAGAAGCACCCAGATCTTCTTATCGTGAATTCACATTCCACCCAGGGAAAAGATAAGAAAACTCCATCAAAGTCAGAATGAGAGCTGAGTGTCTCTGGAAATGTCAGGGAGGCTCCGAGGAGAAGGTAGTATTTGAACTGTACTCTGGGTAGTAAGGAAGTTATGGGAGATGGCATTCCACAGCATGGACAAAGGTCTAGTGATGGGAAAACAGAATACTTAGTGAGGATGGAAGACTAGATGGGAGACAAATGAGGAGGCAGGTGGGAGCTAGCAAGGTCTATGAGCCTCAGGGGCAGGGAGTACATAATAAAGGTCACAGCTACCATACAGAAAATGGGGAAAGCAGGCCTGCAGTTCTAAGTAGGACAGTCACAGAAGGCTTCTTTGAGGTGACACATGGAAGACGAGTTAAGCCATGTGATTACCTGGGGAAGAGATTCCAGGCAGAGAGAATAACAGTGCAAAGGTCCTGAGGCCACAAAGTGGCTGCCACATTGGTGATACATTAAAAAGGTCAGTGTAACTAGACCTTGGGAGGAAGGAGGAGACTTTGAGGTTACAAAGTTAAAAGGAAATATGTTCACCAATGGCCCTGCAGGCCATAATGGGGGCTTTAACTTTTACTTGGATTAAATGGACATTGCAGGATTTCCAGTAAAGGAACAGCATTACCTGACTTAGATTTTAAAAAGATCATTCCAACTGTTGTGCAGAGAATCAACTGCAGATCAAGGGTGGAAGCTGAGAGACTAGTAAAGAAGCTATTGCAGAAATCAGGCTAAAGAGGTCAGTGACTAGAACCAGGGTAGCAATGGTGCGGTGGTTCTCCTGGGCTTCCCCGTGCAAAAAAAAAAAAAAAAAAATGCATTAAAAAAAAAAAAAAAAAACCTTAGGATCCCCACCCTGTATGCAGCCCAAAGCATCAAAAAGCCCCCCTCAGGATGCAGTGTAGGGAATGCGCCAGCAGGGTGCCAGCCTGAGGAATGTGGAGTTGCTTGCACGTCCAGGCCCTTGGTGCCCACAAAGAAGGTAAGACAGGCGCTGTCTTTCGACGCATGTCAGGTGGGTGAAGGAAGAGGTGTCCACTCGCCCTCGTTCCTCAGAGAGAGAAACCGAGGAGTGGGAAAACCGGCACCTCTTGCGAGTCCTGGAACCGGTTCTGAGCTACTGGCACTGAGTGCGCCCGGGGCAGCCGCTGCACGTAAGCAGGTGTCAGCACCTCGCGGGAAGCGCCAMGGCCCCTGCTCAGTGCACCGCTCTTCCTACCAGGCCCGTCCCCCAGCTCTGACCCTTTGTATCGTTTGCCTCTACTCCCATCCTGTCTGCCTATCTGTTCTACYCCAGGTTAGGTACGCACTGCCCTGTTGGGGTCCCTCTGGCGGTGGCCGTAGCCGCGCAACTCCGACCCGGGGCTCCAGGAGAAGAAAATCATGAATGAAATGGATGCGAWGCTCCCACTCCCCCGCCCTCCCGGTCCAGACAACCTTGGTTTGGGGGCGGTGCCTGCGGGGACTCCACTCAGAGTTGCTGGGGGCCGGGGCGCCTGGGATGGGTTCAGAGGTTAAGGGTGTGTGATACTCGCCCCCTGGGGACCTGGGCGCCGCGGGAGCTCCCCACCCCCCACCTTGCGAGCCCTGCGCAATTCCCCCCCCACCCCCGAGCGCAAGCCCGCCAGGGGGCGGGGCGGAGCCAGGGCTGTGGGTGCCCAACCGACCCGGCGGCTGCGCTCGCGACTCCGCAGCTCAAGCGCATTTGGTGGGGCRGTCGGGCAAGGGTGCGCGCACGGAGCGCGGGACTGAGCGCCTGGCGGACGGACCGACGGACGGACGCCCCCGCACACGCAGACGCACAGAGCTCGGCGCGGCCCCCGTCACACACACAATCGCGCAGACACACACACAGGGACACACGCAGACACACGCACACTCGCGCGCGTACATCCTCCCGCCAGCCTGCCTGCCCGCTCGCCGGCGCCCGGAGCCCGCTCTGGCCGGTAAGTGCGGCGCCTCCGTGGGCGCCTTTGTGTATGGAGCCGGAAGGCGGAGGGCGCGGGGTCCCTACTGGGGCGGCCGCGAAGCTGAGACCTCCTCCAGCTCAGAACGGAGGAGCCGGCGCCCGCCCCCGCCACGCCCCCCCGTGGGGCTCCCGGCGCCCCCGGACGGGGGGAGGGGTCTCCCATGCGGGGGAGGGGGCATGACGCTTGGTGGCCGGGAGGCAGCGGCAGCCACTCCCCGCGAAGCTCTTGCGCGGTTCCAGGGAGAGATCCGGACAGTGGTCCAGGTCGAGCCTCTGCGGCCCAGGCTGGTGCGTGGCTCTTGGCTGCATGGCCTCTCCAGAGTCTGAACCCCAGGAGGGAGGTTGGAAGTCGCCGCCAGACTGATGGCCTCTAAACCTCAGCTCCCACAGCCTTCTCATCATCGCGTTGCCTTCCCGACCCTTTTGCTTTAGGCACCGCGTCCCACCTACTCACAAAATAAAAGCCCAAAGTGTTCCCCTCCCCCATCATATTGCTTTTTCCTGGATGAGGCCCAGGTTCCTGCAAAACCCATAGATTGCCCAGGTCAAAACCTTGAGGGGGTGGAGGGGTCCCTGGAGGTGGTCCCTTAACCAAGAATCGMACATCTTAGAGGGTCAGGACCAGAAGAACCTTGGGAACTCATTTAACCCCTTCATTTTACAGATAGGGAAACTGAGGCCCAATGAGGTGGTTTGACCAAGGTCACCGGAGAGTTAGTGGCAAAACCTGCATTAGAATCTGGGATCCTTGGCTTTCATATTCAGCCCCTCCCCCCCMCACACACACACAACTAGATCCTATTCTCATTGAAACCACAGAACCCAAAAATTAACCTAAAAACCACTAATATTTGTAATTCCAGCCCTGCCCCCATTTGAAGCGGCAAGTGCCATTCATTTGCTACCATTTTTACAGTTTAAAAAAATGAATAAATAATTGTCCTTTCATTTGTTTCATTCATCCTCTAAGGCGAGCTGTTTTGCAAGCACTCCAGGTTTAGGATTTAGTTTGGGAGAATGAAACAGCTCTGGAATGGAGATGAGATTCAAGTCCCAGTCCTTCCAAGAGTCCCTGAGCCTGAGAGTCTTCAGCTGGCCCAGTGGCACTCAAGGATTCCTCCTCTTCCCCCACTTTGACTTACTGCATCCCTCCCAGTCCCTCTCCCCTACTCCTTAAGGACCCAGGTTTTCTAATCCAACCAGGCTACCTCTTCTTCCTTGGTGTTTGTTAAGCGCAGCTTCTTGGTATTGCTGACAAAGCTACTAGAGAATCTTTAGTTACAACTACACCAGGTTCCAGAGTGTCTCAGCACAAGGCTCAGTCAAGGGCAGCTGGGTGTCCCCATAGCTGATCCCCATGCCTGGTACAGAGGGTGCCCCCAGAGGTGGGTTGAGGGAGTGCAAGCATAGGTGTCTGGTGAAGGGATGAAGTCCATCACCTTCCAAGAGACTGAATAGAATGGTTGGCAGAAGGACAATGTTCAGTCTCTAGGGGCCTGAGGCTCTCTCTCAAGAGCTTCTTTCTTGAGTGGGCTGAACTGAGCCAGGAGGCCAACTGGCATAACTCCAGGGGTGGTCCCTGGCATTGTCCTCAAGAGGCACGGTATACACAGACACAGACACTGTAATGAACAGTAGCCCTGGCTTTTTGCCATGCAGGGGCTTCCACTGCGAGAGTGCAGAGAGCAGGGTTCCAGGCCAGGCCAAGGCTCTTTGCTGGCTGTACAATTTCAGTAAATGCTCACACTCTCTCTGCATCTCAGTTTCTCCATCAGAAAAATAGGATTGTGAGATGGGAGATTTTCAGGATATCTTTCAGGTCTGAACTATATATTGAGGAAAGGTGGGAGGGGGAAGGAGAAGAGCACTTTTATATAACTACCATGGCCCTGAATTCCTCTGCTTTGACTCTATGAGGGTATAATTCCTGACCTAAAGAGATAATAATGTAGGTAGGATACTGAGCACAGTACCTGGGGCTTAGAAAAAGCTCAAGAATTTGGTAACTATGAATACCATTAGGGCCCCAGCTTTATAGATATTCCCTCCACTTCCCTCCTTCAAATCATCCAAGGACATGAGATTTTTAAATCCTTAAAGTCTTTCTCTCTCAAAACAATCTCTTCCCTGTGACCTATTCCTGGATTTAATGCTCAGACAGCCTAAGACATCCATCCTAGGAGGAACAATACTTTTATTTATCAGTTATTGCAACATAATGTAAGTAATAATATATGTGTGTGTGTGTGTGTGTGTGTGTGTACACATATAGTGCCAACACTTTCCTTATGCTTTAGCTCTTGTATTTACTCTTCATAACACACTCACAGTAGTGTTATCGAGCCCCTTTTACAGATGGGGAAGGCAAGACTCTGCTTTTAGCTTTTCTAAGGGTGCATGCCTTAAGAGTGTCAGAGCCAGAGAGCTAGGCCTCGAGCTCAGATGATCTGACTCTAGAATCTCAACTCTTTTTTTCTGTATCATATTGCCTGTCCTTTCTGGAGACTTGCCCTAAAAGAGAGACAATAACCCTCTGAAAAGAGTAAAGAAGAGGAGATTTATCCTTCTGGAAGATCAGATGGCTTCTCACAGAAGCTAGGTGGCACCTGAGCTAGGTCTGAAAATCTTGTACATTAGAAAGACTGGAGGAGCATTTCAAGAAGTGGAAGTGGCCACTAGGAAGGACTTCTAGGACATGAGCAGAGCAGTTCATTCCAGCTGGAGCAAAACAGATAAAAGAGGAGTGATGGGAAGGAAGGCTGGATCGAAGGGTCAGAGGTAGTTAGGGCACTGAGTGACAAACTAAGGGGTCAGTCTTTAGTTTGAGTAGGGGAGACGCATTTTAAAGTGTGAAGAAACTCACTCTGCCCCAGGTTGGAGGTGGAGAGCCTGCTGGCAGGGAGCCCAGCTAGGAAACGCTGTCGCTTTCGGTGGTGGAGGTGAGAAATAAGGAGGGTCTGGCCTGGGGTGGTTGTAAGAATGGGTAGAAAAAGGAGTTGATGCAAGAGGCCTCAGTGTCACCAAAAACCCAATTTGATGTGGGTGCTACAGGGAGGGAGGAATAAGTGACAGCAAGGCTTTGCAGCAGAATGGATGAGGTTGCCATTCTAGAAGAGCCCAGCAGGATGGGGAGTGGGGAGGCTTACAAAGGAACCATGACTCTGATGGGGAACCATGACGATCACTCCTGCAGTGCTGGCTCACCAGTCACCATCCATATTGTCAAGAGCCAGTTCATTCATTCATCCCATTCATTCTCCAATGAATGTGAACATCTCTGATATGCCAGGCTCTTGTAGGCTCTGGGGATGCACAGCTGAAAAAGATGAACTTCCTGCCTAAGCTCTCCCAGGAGAGACAGAAAATAAAACCTAAGCATAAATATTTCTTATGGAAAGCTGTGCTCTGGAGAAGAGTAAAGCAGGATGAAGGGTTACTAGGGGCAAAGGTTGAGGAAGAGATTTGCCTTTAAACAGTATTGCCTTTGAGGCGTGATATCTGAACAAAGCCCTGAATGAAGTGGAGACCAACTGGAATAGCTGTCAAGGAAGATAAGTGCAAAGGCCCTGGGGTAAGAGTAGCTCAGTGTTTTCAAGGAACCTCAAAAGTAGCTATAAGATATAAGCAAAGGAGAAGCATGGCAGAGAAAAAGGTAGGAGAAAGGGGCAGGGCCAATGATGTAAGTTCTTCAAGGCCTGAGAAATGAGAATTTGCATGGGGTTAATGGGTCCAAGAGAGCTTGAGTTCTGTTCCCCTTGGGTACTTAGTGCCTAGAAAAATAACCCTGACTCTACTCAGTGGCTCACTAAATAGTAAATGAATGTTGGAAATGAACATTTATGTGGGAGAATTCATACGTTAGACTTACTATGACCCGCTATATAAAGGTATCATGGCATAGTAAGGACATAGTAGGCTGTGGTCTGATCACAGTGGTAAAGCTTAGAGGACTTGAATGTCTGTGTTGAGATTCAAATATGAATTTTTGAGTCAAATCTGCATATTTTCTTCAGGAAGGCTTGATATTAGAAACTGCTTTTCAAAACATACCTGAAATTACTGTAAAACAATTAAAATGGTGACATCTGGGGATCTTCCTTCATCCCCCTTCCAGCACAAAGACACATCCTCCTGGCCTCATTTCACCTTTCCATTGTGTAACTCTCATGCTCTCGGCCATTGCCCTCATAAGGGCCCATGTTTGTAAGAGAAGACATCTTCATCATCCAACACCCAAAAAGACAAGTGAGGAGAGAGAAATCATTTATAGGAGTAGAAATTCTTCTCTGACACTTAAATAATTATTTGAATGAATCTACAAGTGGGAATGGGAGAACTCCAGAAGGTAGCCAATTATGTAAGGCATTCAACTGCATTAAACTGGACCCAGGACCTGTGCRCATTTCAAATTTTATGGCACCTGATAACCAAATATGTAACCAGTTCACCAGGAAATATCTCTGAACTAGTGTTCCTGCCAGTGTGGACCAGCACAGCTGTCTATATAAGTGTCCATGTTCTAATCCTAATCTTATCAGTGAGCAAGTGACCTGGGGTAAGGTTCTCCCCATCTCCCAAACTCAAGTTTTCCTTATCTCTGTGAGGTAAAGCTTGGGTTTCTAGGGCCTCTGAATCCCAAAGCTTGTCTGGCCTGGCCTATCTGTGGGCCGACGTTATTGTCTTTGAACAAAACAGTGTTTGTATACAGTGTGGACCCCATGGTGCTCAGATGGTCTTGGTGGGTATGAGGCAGACACCCTGATCCTGCTGTGGAGATGAGATGGTCCCAAGAGCAGAGGAAGCCAGGTATCATGTTGGATCTTATGATAAGCAAATTGACATATGGTCTCAGTCTTAGAATCATAGAATCTCTGAGCCTTCTAGTACAGACTCCATCCAGATCAACAGATCTGTCGCCTCTAAATTGGAAACTCAGGTCATCCTAACGGGAAAAAAACCTGAAAATTTTTGAATAAT